GAAGAAGAAGAAGAAGAAGAAGAAGAAGAAGAAGAAGAAGAAGAAGAAGAAGAAGAAGTAAAAGCAATATCTCCAATTTTACCCCTCACTACTCAGGTTAGAGAAGAATGAATTGTATCTATATACAAAGTAGTAACCTCTGTTTGTTTGTTTGTTTGTTCTTATCTTGAACCTTTTGACCGATTTGCCTCAAATTTAGATTGGGACACGGGAATGTTTATAGCTTGGTTTAAAAGTTTTAAGTTGAGAAGGTCGACTTTTGTTGAAAAAACTTAGTTCCAGGCAAAGCTGGGTTCCTGCACTAGTATTTTAAATATATATAGACACAAAAATGAAGACTTTATTTGTACCCAACCCGGGGAATATTTTTTTAAAACTAAATGTCTCTACGAAACTAACAAGCTAAAAAACCTGGTTTCCCTTTGAGGACTTTTGAAATGAATTGATATTTTTTTAATTGGCATAAAACATATTTTGAAGAATTCTATATAACCAAAAATCCTGCCTAGTTTTGGCATGCTTTTCATTATTCAAAACCTTAGACAAATAAAGATTTTGTAATATGAAGTCAGTTGAAGGGTTTACGAGAATGTTTTAAACATTTTCCAAATTTTTAAAAATGTTTGGAAACGGGAAATTTCATTTTTGACTCATTTTGTTAAATAATTCACCCCGTTAGGATGATTTTATCAAAAAACTTTTCAAGAAACATTCGAAATCATTAAGCTTTTTAGGTACAGGGTGTCCCACGAAACATGACAGATGGTGATTATTTTAAAATGTCTTCTTCCATGTCAATTTGTTTAATACCAAGGAGACTAATAAAAATATTTTATGGCAGTCATATTATAGTAAATTAATTTGAAAGTAATTTATATTTGAGTTAAAAAAAAATTTAAAAGAAAAAAACTGTAAAATGTATTGTCTAATAAATGACTGTATTGTCTAATAAATGACTGTATTGTCTAATAAATGACTGTATTGTCTAATAAATGACTGTATTGTCTAATAAATGACTGTATTGTCTAATAAATGACTGTATTGTCTAATAAATGACTGTATTGTCTAATAAATGACTGTATTGTCTAATAAATGACTGTATTGTCTAATAAATGACTGTACTGTCTAATAAATGACTGTATTGTCTAATAAATGACTGTATTGTCTACTAAAATTGCTTATACGAAAAAATGAAAAAGCTACACGCAAAAAAGATGAAATATTTATCATATTTTTCTCGGACATTTCCCTTTTTAACTAAAAATCCTGCCCCCCCTTCCCCCCGGGCCGGAGCCTGCTTTTGCCTTAAAAAGAATTCTACCGTGGGGGTCGAGATAAGATGCCGGATTAGTTATAATGATCTGAACTATAAGTAAAACTGTAAACTGAAAACAAAGAAAATAAATATCTCCTTTTCCTATCTCATTTCTTTTCGCCAATTTTTGTCTGAACAGAAAAGTGAATGCATCCCCCCATAAAACCAAAAAATATGTTGAATTTTTTTTGCGTATTTCACTTTTGTGATCAAATCAATTTTAATTAGCCAAAAGTGTTAAAATATCAAATTTCCCGCCAAAAATATAATCTTGCATTTGGTGTGAACAGGGTTTCCAAAAACTTTCAGGGATTTTAAAAGTTTTGGAAACATCATCGTGAACCGCTTAATAATACCTGACTTGGCATTATTTTAAATTATTTTGTATTTTGATTTTTTCTTTCTTTGGACATGTTTTTTATTTTAATTTTTACGGTATTTTTTTCTGTTATTTTCAATTCGAAATTTAACGTTAATTTATATGTTTTGTGTTTGATATGTTTTGTCGTGGATCTGTTTTGTAACATCATATGTTTTGTATCTGGATATGCTTTGTCACGATATGTTTTGTAGGAGATATGCTTTGATTTGATAGGTTTTCATTTGATATGTTTCGTTGGGTTAAGTTTACTGTTTAGTGATGATATACTTTGTAGGAGATATGCTTTGATTTGATATGTTTTGTTTTAATATGTTTCATCGGGTTATGTTTAATGTTTAGTGATGATATTTGTTGTATGTGTAATTGACTCGCGGATTTACGCAAATAAGAGAATTAGAAAGAAAATAAAAAAATTAAGATAGAAATAGCTGGACAGTACATACGTCATTTGGCGGTCCCTTTAAAGATAGATTTTTTTCAAACTTGGAGTGCTAAAAACTGCACCCAAATTTGATTAAGCTATTCATAAACTGTAGGGAACACCTCTCTTATGGAATAATATAAATGTGAATTATTGTAATCAAGATGAGAATACTGATGCATAAATATCCTTTATACTGGATACAGATAGAAGATCGTATCATTTAAAATATACTTTTTTACTATTGTTTTCCTTATAAGGAGTGCCTGCGTCAATGCGTATAATTTAGGCAGCAACATTTTTGAGTTAGCGTATACGCATATTTAAGTTTTTCTCATATAGAGAGATTGACATAGAAAATGGCTTGAGCAGCTGTTGTTCCTTGTCCATTGATGATATTTGTGATCCTTGGAGGACAAATTATCGAAATTGATTTTTACAATTTTCTTTTTTAACCTTTTCTATTTGAATCAAGCGGTTCTGGTTCACAATTCATTTTAACCCAGTTAATGTAGATTTTTTTTATAGAGTAAGGACGAACTCCTGATGATGCCAAAGTTTTTGGCGAAATATATTGAGAAGAAAATGATATAATTCTAGTGCTAGAGAGTAGGGTTGGGATTTGTTTAAAAACGATCTAAAGTTTTATTATTTCATACTTTTTATACGTTTCATACATGCTCTAATATATATTAAATATTTCTTTTATTTTGAATGAAATTTTAATGAGTTTATTCCATTAAAGTTAAATCTCTTATAGTTATTCTCTCTTATTGTGAAAGAAATTGAGTCTAATTGCCACAAACTCAGATTTTCTCATCTATCTTTGCAACCTGGTGTTGAAAGCCTGAGATATTTCAAACTGTGAATTATGTTGATACAAATTATATTTGTTTGAAATGAAAATATTTGCAGGTTGCAAAGATTAGGATTAGGAAATGTTAGTTTGTGGCAAAATCTAAAATATTTGATAAAATATTATTTAGAGTCCGATTCGAAATGTAGAAACTGCGAGGGACGAGAAGCAAGAGGCCAGTGATTCCAGAATAATATTAGGGGGCAGGGTGCATGGGGAAGAGAAGAGTACAATAAAGCTCTTTGATCAAGCATATATATGCACATTTATTAGCTAAAGCTGGTCAAACGGCTGGACCGCATCGGATGAATTTTTTGAGAAAACCCACTGGTACTCTGCAGTGCATGGGGGTAACATAGGCTGAAATAAATTAAATTCTTTCCTTAAATTCGATTTATTTTCAAGTTTCATGTTTTTCAATTCGAAATTTTTTCCAAAATGTTTTTAAAAATCAACGGAGAACGCCGGGCACTTCAGCAAGTACAATAAAATATACTCCGCAAAGTCAAATTTAGTTTTTTCTTTCTGCTCATTTAAAAAATGTTTTACTCTAGACCTGTATTGCAACCCAAAGTTGTAGACATTAGATATTTCGAATTCTGTTTCTCCATCAAATAATCTAAGTTTGAAATGTCAAAGATAAAATGATACTATATCAGGTTGCAAAGATTTAGAAAATTAAAAACTCATTCTCCTGTTATCACTGATTGGTCTGCTAGGAAGTGTCTATCCAAACCAATCCAGATTCCAGAATCCAGGAGGGAAAACGACCAACCTTTATCCTACCCAGGTATTCTTAAAACAGTTTAAAACCAACCCCTTGCAGACCCTGCAGTATGTCTACTGTATGCACCCCATTTCCTGTTGGTATCGAGGTTTCGTGAGATGAGTTGGCTGAGTGTCTATCTTTGTCTATGGGTGGGATGCACCTATTGAGTTTCCAGCGACATTTTTAGCGCAATTTATTTTTTTTCGAAAATTTTCGTTTTTTCGCGAAATTTCGCTTTAATTGGTGAATAAATGCGAAATTTTCGCAAAAATAGAAATGCTAAAATTTCACAAAAAAAACCGGGAGAGAAGTTATTAAATATGATATAGAAAAACTTCTAGAAGTAAGCTCTGAGGAAAGAGAATTCCGTGAGTTTTTTGCGCAATTAATTGTTGCAGCTACAACACTTAAAGTTTTCGCGAAATTATTTTTTTCGCGAAAATAATTTTCACATTTTTTTCGCTTTGTTCATTTTCGCGAAAAAAATTCGCGAAAAAGTTTGCGAAATACGAACAAAAATTTTTGCATTTTTTCGCGAAAGTTTTCGTTCGCTGGAAACCACTAATTAATTCACTAAATATTCTCCTGCTCAGGAGAAACGAGGGCAATGTAGGAATAGGAGAAGTGATCAGACCAAAGGAGATTGTTGATGTTGACACGCCAGACCTCTTTCCAGACGGTAGGTCTTAAAGGGACTGTAAGCGTAATTTTAAGGGACCCTCCATTTTTCAACGGCCCCTTTAAAACTTAATCTGATCAAAAATGTGAAATATAACGTCGATTTCTGACTCAAAAAGTGTGTTTTTCTGTGAATTTAGCTCCATTGTTTCTTAAAAGCAAGAATTGCGGACGTCACTTTTACAGAAAAACCACAAATGAAAATGAACAGTCAAACAGAATAATAAAAAAACATGCAAATCTAATTCCTACTTGATCAGACAAAGTTTTTAAGTGTATCGGACATTGCCATCTGTGAATGGAGAGGAGGGTCACTTGAAATTTAGCTTACAGTCCCTTTAAAGGGATAGTTCATTATTTTAAAATTTGTACGAACCATAACATTGGTTGAGTTATTCTTTGTTATTCTCTTTAATTTTTCTCTCGAAAATATTCGAGACAAATTATAATTAAATTATCATTTTTTTTGTATCGAAAGAAAACCATTTTCATGGGTATTTTTTGTTGTTGTTAGAAATAGCTTTAACTTCTTGAACATTTTTCTCACAGTTTAGATTGTTAAAATATTTTTGGGAGTTCACTTTGAAAACAAATAGGAAATAGAAATGATGTGTATAGAAAACTATTTAAAATAATAAGAAATTATATATTACAAAATTTAGAATGTTTGGTACATGAGGATTGCCGTTCTACGGATTTTTGTTCTCCTCCTCCTCAGAACAAATGTACAGATGCATGTACACTAGACGGTAAAGTACACTTGACGGTGGAGACGGTATAGTAATACTAGACTGTACAATGAACGGTACAGTACACTAAACGGTATAGTACACTGGACAATAAAGTAAAACTGGATGATACAGTACAGTCAATAGACAGTACGGTTCTGTACACAATTGAAAAGATTTTTGGGCTGGGATAGATCTAATATATAGCGAGAAGTAGTTCAATCGCATTTCAGAAATTGAACCGCGTCTAAGTAGTTTAACCGCGTTGAAATAAAGTAGTAGAACCCCGTAGAAGTAGCAAAACTGCATTGAATTGGGATTGAATAAAAGTGGTATAAATATGTTTACGCGGTTCAATTACTTCTTGCTAGTCATGCAATCACATCTAAGATATTGTTCCTAAAAATCACATCTAAGATATTGTTCCTAAAAATCAAATCTAATATATTGTTATTAAAAATCACATCTAATATATTGTTCCTAAAAATAACAGCTAAGATAGTGTTCCTAAAAATCACATCTAAGATATTGTTCCTAAAAATCACATCTAAGATATTGTTCCTAAAAATCACATCTAAGATAGTGTTCCTAAAAATCACATCTAAGATATTGTTCCTAAAAATCACATCTAAGATATTGTTCCTAAAAATCACATCTAAGATATTGTTCATCTAAAAGAAGGACCTAACAGAATGCTGCATCATGTTTATCTAAAGTAATTGAGTCTTTGCCACAAACTCTGATTTTCTAATCATTATATTTTTGCAAATGTCGTCGACCTTAGATATTTCAAACTATTAATTCTGCTAGATCAAATAATCGAAGTTTAAAATATCAAAGGTTTACACCAACATATTACAAAGATATAGAGATTATAAAATTTGAGTTTGTGGCAGAGACTTAATTCCTTAGAGACACATCAGCAAGATTATAATGAGCAATTAAACCCTTAAAGTTGCAACGATCTAGGCTTTCTTATCACTTCGTCGCGCTGTACACCTGATATATTTCAAACCAAGATTTCTGAAAGGTTTACGCCATTAGGTTGCAAATATATATGGATAAGTTTGTGACAAAAACTCAATCATTTTCTCTAGTTTGTGGAAGTGGCGCAGTATGTAGCTCCCAGCTACACAGGCCGGTCTGCTCGTGTCCTGACGGGTTCGAAGGAAACCCATACGATAAATGTACAAAGGTAAACTGCCATCACCATAATATAATGAACCTATAAAGTGATCACATTCCGAGTTCTCACGCGAAACTCGTCAAGGAGTTTGTAAATTACACCTAAAAATATGGGCAAGAAAAAAAAGAGTTGCAATTGTGAAGCACGTTTTAGGGAACTGCAGATTAAGATTGAATACAAGTACAACAGAAACCATATAGCATAAAATTTTTAATAAAATCTATTCATGATAAACTCGACACATTAATGACATTTATTGTTCTTTTTGATACAAGTCTTTACCACAAAATCGATTTTATAATCCCTATATCTTTACAACCCAATGTCAGAGACCTTACAAACAATAAATTCTGTTGTATCAAATCATCTTGTTTGAGTCTCAATTCCTTTGAAATAGGATTTAAGCGTCAAAGGAAAGCATAATTCAATTATGTCTATTAATTGCAATTAGAAAAATGCAAAAAAAATGCAACTTGTTTTTTTATAAAGGGCCGGATAGGGTAATGTAAAAAGTGTAAGGGTTATGTAAAAATGAAGAAGNAAACCTGATTACTGAGGGTCACCCTGTACACAAGATATTGTTTTAAAACCTGATTACTGAGGGTCACCCTGTACACAAGATATTGTTTTAAAACCTGATTACTGAGGGTCACCCTGTACACAAGATATTGTTTTAAAACCTGATTACTAAGGGTCACCCTGTACACAGGATATTGTTTTAAAACCGGATTACTGAGGGTCACCCTGTACACAGGATATTTTTTAAAACCTGATTACTGAGGGTCACCCTGTACACAGGATATTGTTTTAAAACCTGAATAAATCTGAGTTCAGTGCGTAAGCCCACCAAGATTAATTGTATGAAAGTTATTTAATGCGAGTAACCAGTTCGCAGTCCATATTTAGAAAACCTTCTTAAAGTGATTTTTAAACATCTAGGATCATTCATTTAAATGATTCGGGCAAATAATTATATTTTAATTAAATATCACCAACATCTTATAATTATATTTTAATTAAATATACCAACATCTTATAATTATATTTTAATTAAATATCACCAACATCTTATAATTATATTTTAATTAAATATCACCAACATCTTATAATTATATTTTAATTAAATATCACCAACATCTTATAATTATATTTTAATTAAATATCACCAACATCTTATAATTATATTTTAATTAAATATCACCAACATCTTATAATTATATTTTAATTAAATATCACCAACATCTTATAATTATATTTTAATTAAATATCACCAACATCTTATAATTATATTTTAATTAAATATCACCAACATCTTATAATTATATTTTAATTAAATATCACCAACATCTTATAATTATATTTTAATTAAATATCACCAACATCTTATAATTATATTTTAATTAAATATCACCAACATCTTATAATTATATTTTAATTAAATATCACCAACATCTTATAATTATATTTTAATTAAATATCACCAACATCTTATAATTATATTTTAATTAAATATCACCAACATCTTATAATTATATTTTAATTAAATATCACCAACATCTTATAATTATATTTTAATTAAATATCACCAACATCTTATAATTATATTTTAATTAAATATCACCAACATCTTATAATTATATTTTAATTAAATATCACCAACATCTTATAATTATATTTTAATTAAATATCACCAACATCTTATAATTATATTTTAATTAAATATCACCAACATCTTATAATTATATTTTAATTAAATATCACCAACATCTTATAATTATATTTTAATTAAATATCACCAACATCTTATAATTATATTTTAATTAAATATCACCAACATCTTATAATTATATTTTAATTAAATATCACCAACATCTTATAATTATATTTTAATTAAATATNTAGAACTCAATGTTCTGCAATAATACTTTAGTCTGTAACAATCCAGATACAACGCTCTATGTATTCTCAGTGTGTATCGTACAGATACAGCTGGCTCTCTAACTCAATGTTCTGCAATAATACTTTAGGCTGTAACAATCCAGATACAACGCTCTATGTATTCTCAGTGTGTATCGTACAGATACAGCTGGCTCTCTAACTCAATGTTCTGCAATAATACTTTAGTCTGTAACAATCCAGATACAACGCTCTATGTATTCTCAGTGTGTATCATACTGATCGCTCTCTCTCTCGATCTCTCTGGTGTCTACATGAGATATAATACATGTCTAAACGTAATGAAGCAAAGGTTCATGTCTGAACTATATAATTGATAACTGATCCATATAATGAACGTAGTTAAATTCATGAACGCAGTAAGGGTACAGACCAAGTTACAACGTATTATATATATAGGTATGTTCAGGTTTACAAATATGGGGCCTATTTCTATATTCATTGCATGTTAGTAATAAGATTTTAGTTTTTGTTGATATAACATTTTGTTGACTTATTTAAGAGACTAAAGACAAAATAGATCCACTTTTCACATGTTTCTGCATTTCTGATTTCATACCTATTCATATCAATTATATTTTTTAGCTTTGGCTGGCCAAATGACTGGACTGAATTGACCGAAACATTTTGAGGAAACCCATGGTTACCCCGTGGTGACATCTATAGATGTAAATAGCCTAATTTTGTTTAATTCAATTTTTTAATACTAGAAATATTTTTCCCCAAATTGTTTTAAAAACTTCGAACACTTCATCTTTTATTTAGTATTTTAATTCACAGTTAATAAAGTGGAAATTTAAACCACGGATATATAATAAATTGGATGGATCATAGACGAGTTTCGATGTAATTTTATGGGTGGGGTGTTATGCAGTACATTGGAGTTCTAGCAGACAATGGACTCTGGACCAGCTCTTGCATAATTCCTTTCTTATTTAGCCAAACAGTTATATTCCACTGAATTTTAGAAGGTGCGGGGGATGGTTTGTTTAAGTCCCTTGTGTAGTTTTCAATGTTTAAACTTTATTTCAAAGATAGCTTAATTATCGTTGCCCCCCGACCTTTTTAAAGGCTTTAACTTAAATAATACTGAGGATTCAAAATAATAAATATATTATNATGCGCTTCCCGCAATTTTTGCCCCCCCCCCTACATTTCATTCTGTATACGCCCTTGAAAACCCCATATATTTTATAGTTTGTCGCACTTTTGGACCTGTAAATTTCCGTTTTTACTATAACCCCTCTCCCTTTGCACAATCACACAAATTTTCAAATTTGTTAAAATATCTAAGTAAAGTTTAAAAATGTTTAAAAAGTTTAAAAATGAATATAACATTTCTCGTCAAAATAAAAAAAGTTCACATTTATCGAACTTTTTTAAAACAAAAATTGAATCACATATTACCTTGAACTGCTAATGACTGTGGGTTAGAGGATGGGCATGGCTCCAGGTCGTAGTCTTTTAGAAGTCCTATTAAGGTCCATCAGGACAAAAATGGTCTGAGCATATCACACTCCATTTTTTCGGATTGGAAGGAAGGTTGGCCTGTAAATTTCACCCTTGGTACTCTTAGGTCATTTTTCGGGAACGAAAAAAAGATTTTATCTTGACTGGTATTATTATTTTTACAAGATATTACACTGCAGTACCTCATGTTCATACATCACAGGGCCCACTGTTTATCAACACGGCTGTACAACTTTCCTACTCTTTGGACCCTGAACTTTCCTTCAGATATTAATTCTTTGTAAACAAAAAAAAATCTATTTCGAATAAAAAAATAAAAAATTGTATAAAAGAAACATTAAAAAAAACATAAATATGCCCTTAAAATAAACACAACAAATCTAGGGTCCGATTTGCTACATCAGCTGGTAGGCCCATGGAAAAAATTACTGGCCAATTTCTTATTCATTTAACCATAGGTACAACTATAGGTCGTATCTGTCTATCTACACTGCTCTGGTAAAGCGTAATCATAGTGTGACTATGGTTCTACCTATGGTAGAGCGTCTAAGAAATTGGTCATACCAAAATAAAATTTGTACTGTGGCCGAGTTCAGTGTAGATAGATAGATAGAATCATATCTATAAGCGGGCCGTGATTTAAACCTTTGAATTTGCACCACATATCATTTAATATATATTCAAATAAATTGTTATTGTATTTAGACATACATACATTTGAAACTGTTCTGCAGTTCTGTAACTGCAGGCTGTAAAGCTAGTTGGGGGATCTTTATGACTTAAACTTTATTAGATGCAGGCGATCTTAGATATATACATATTTGTTTGTAATATCTACACAACGACGATATTTTCCTGCAAAAATAGGGTAAAAGGTTTTTCTTCAGTAAAGTAAAATTCACATATTTTCATTTCGTTTTCGTTTTCTTAAACGTTCAATTCAAGACTAACAGGTCGTTAGTTTTAACCCTTTTTTTCTGAGAACGAAGGTGGAAAAATAACCGTTTTTTGTGCGTTTTTATGAACAATGCCCAACTCTACTCAATGTAAGGTTTACAGTATAGAAGATAAGATTTATGATATTTTTATCTGGCTTAATACCTTATACCGGTTAAATCTTGTTTAATTTAACTGGAAATTGCAATCGTAAAAATTCCTAAAATCCTATTAATTTTGCTGAACATTATGCGTAAAGCTGAAAAAACATTACTTTTTAATGAATATTTTTAAAATTCTAGTTTAACAAAAGGACAATAAGCATCTATATATATATATATATATATTAAAAAAAATATATATTTTATTTGTCTGTCTGTTTATTAGTTTGTACACAATAAATGTAAACACGTCTGAACGATCGAACCCAAAATAGTTTGATGCAATTCACATAACTTTTTAAAAATCTAGATATTTATTTAAAATCTGATTCAATTTTTACAGAGTAATTTTTAGATGTAATTTCATTTTAAAAAGTATTACAATTTTTATATATGTTACGACGATATTTTTGCAGATAAGGTTTTCAATAAAATTTTTTAATTCAATTATGAAAATACAGCTAAATAAGAAAATTTATCTGCTGAAATTTAAAAACTTTTGATCATAAGAATTTTCTTTTTAAAGTAAAAGAAATAACTCAATAGAGTTATTTAATCTTGTTTGTAATCTTAAGACGTTTCAAAATTATTTAACATAAATTGTACAAAGTATATATTAGAAATAAAATCGGGGAAAAAATTTGAAATCCGAGTTACGATGAAAATTTGGGGGGGTTTTTGCGTGGAATTATCGGTTTACCGACAAAGGGTCAAACGACACAGGGTCAAACGACAAAGGGTCAAACGACAAAGGGTCAAACGACATAGGGTCAAAAATGCGACAAAGGGGCAAATTTTTTTTAATTTTGACATCAAACGACAAAGGGTCAAACGACATAGGGTCAAAAATGCGACAAAGGGGCAAATTTTTTTTAATTTTGACATCTGCGGCCAAGGGTTAGGTTAGGTTAAGACACTTTCTGGGTCGAGCGCTGCGGCTAGGACAGGCTAGGGGGCCGAGCGCTGCGACCACATGGTCAATTATATCCATGTCTAAAATATAAGATCCATGTACAAAATTGATAGGAGGGTTGCGAGTTTTCTATGATTCAAATCATTATCATTTTGACCTTTTGTCGTTTGACCCTTTGTCGCACTTTTGACCCTTTGTCGTTTGACCCTTTGTCTTTTGACCCTGTGTCGTTTGACCTTTTGTCGTTTGACCCTTTGTCTTTTGACCCTGTGTCGTTTGACCTTTTGTCGGTGAATCGAATTATTCTATCACAATTTTCGATCAATTAAAAATGTATAAATGTATAAATAAAATGTATAAAATGTTACATAGTGCATTAGTGCCGATTTTTTTTTCTCTTTTTCTTTCTATTGAACCTACAATTTAGGTGAGTTTCATAGTATTAATACTATCTGAAACTAAGAGAGAGATCTATTTGACATATAGCTCTTTAGGAAGGTTTGGGAAAAATTAGGTTTCTCTTTACTTGAGTTAGGTTACTTCCATACTCAGGTAGAATTAGTTCCACCCTTTCTCCTTTCTCTTAAAGTGCCGAAAATCTAGACAAGCTTTTCTTCAACTCTTGTTCAGTATCCGTTGCAGGCACAGTTTGCACAATATAATATAGTTAAATTATATTAAATTGTTTAAATCTCCACCATTGGGGTATTTTAAGTAGTCATTGTTGTAAAAAACACAACAATTTTAATTTAAACTGACAAAACAATTGGATTAGAGACAAATTTAAAGAATATTGATATGAAATTGTTTGAAATTAGCAAAAATTATATTTTTTTACACTTGAAAACGGTTTGCAATTCTGAGATGGAATTAAAATAATTTGAGCCGCGGTTTAAATCCGCCAAGACCCGGTTTAAATTCAGCGTCGGCTTAAATCTTTAAACATTTGATACAATGTTAAGTGGAACCAACCATATTTAAACCGCGGCCTAAATTTAAACCACCGCTCAAATTCTTTAAATTCGGCCACTAAAGAACTAAATAAAATTTTATTTTAATACTGGTTTTTTTAACAGTATTCAGAAAAGGTCCTAGAAGAGAAAAATAAAATCAGAAATATTAGCAAAGAAAGTTTTATAACTTTTTTTCGTTTTTTTTTGATGGTATCAGGTCCCTGATTTCATCTTCTGTATACAGAGATAAAAGATAATTAAATCCAGAGTCCATAAAGGTTAATCCAGAGTCCATAAAGGTTAATCCAGAGTTCATAAAGGTTAATCCAGAGTCCATAAAGGTTAATCCAGAGTCCATAAAGGTTAATTCCAATCGGTTTCCCCAAGGGAAATCTATTTTTTACCTTTATATGTGTGCGGGTGGATTCCTCTCCGAGACATCACATGATTATAAACCTCGTAAAAAAGAGACATAGTTACATGATAGGTGGTTGCTACTTCTATTTTATTCAATACTGTTTATAGATAAATTATCAATGATTTATTATTAAATTGAAGTGACACATGTAACCGGTTTTTATCTGTCTATATAGCACTGTAATATTCCCATTTAGATTATCAGAAACACTTTTTTTAAAAATTGATTTTACATTTTTAAAATTTCCTATCAATTAAACTTAAAGAGGTGCGAAGTGATGAATCAAAAAATGCTATTTAATAATCTATTTTTTTGAAATGTAATCTTAGTTGTGAAAATTTATTTTATTTTTTAACTATTTATTTTAGACGCCTTCTCGTGAAGGAATGCGGTTTCGAAGATGGGCAGATGCTCTGTAAAGATATTCAACTAGACAAGGGAGAGAAGGATATAGCGTTGGAATCTCCATTAGAGTTAAAATCACGTCATATCTTTGAGAAAGAAATTTAAATAGATAATGTGAATAAATTGAGTTTTTGCTGCAAACTTAAATTTTCTTATAAAATTGAAACCTGATGGCGTAAACTTTTGACATGTGTCAAACTTTACTGTTTGATCTAACACAAATAGAGGGATTAGTAAATTAGAGTTTGTGGCAGAAACTCAAATCCTTTAGACTATCTCGCCTTTTAAACCATTTTTAGCTTAATGAAAATGGTATTTTTGAACTTCCCAACCTTTTCTGAGAAAAACGCAATCTCTTATATGAAATAAATACTAAAAAACATGAATCCCAATAAAATATTTGTAATTGAAATTTGTGCCATATTTGTAAATATTTCAAACAAAAAATATATCTTCTATGTATTATGTGTTTATCTTTAGATATAAAGTTGTAATCTCTGTTTGTTTGTTTGTGTGTCCGAATATAACTCAGGAACCCTTGGACCGATTTGCCTCAAGTTTTGGTTGAGGAATTTGTGAGATTCTAAGTTGAGTGGGTCCACTTTTATAAGGAAAAATAGCTAAAACGTTAATTTATGACCAAGCGCGGATAAACGGCGGGAGTAACTATGAGTATGAGCTGGGTTCTCAAGCTATTGTCTTTTTTATAAAAGATAACTATGGAGGTTATCTGTAAACTTCAATGAAAACATGATAATACTAATATGCGTTATAAGGGGGTTTCAAGCCCCCTTCTCATCAGCTTAAGCTTTAAACTGTTGCTCTTAAAAATGCTATTTTTCAATGTCATTTACAAAACAAAAACAATTTTTGGGGGATTTTTCTATTCAAAAATAATAAAAGTCAACGCTTTGTTAAACTTTTGGCGGTCCATCAACCAGGTCATGTGAGATGCCACAAAGAATATGGGCCCGATCGGTTTAGGCGTTTTGATGTCCATACAAATATAGTGTAAACAATAAATAAGTAACTTTCCTTATCCTTTCCTTTCCTCTTCCTTTCATTTATATTTTTATATTTTTTTAGAATTGGGGGGAAATATTCCCACAACCTCTACTTTTAGAGGTTTTTAAATATTTTCTCCTGAAATACTTTATTTTGTATGTTTTTGTTATATTTCATAAATAAATAATTTTTTACTTTACTTTACAAACAAACAAGCACCTAGACAAGTTTTTAAATAGGTATTGGATTTTTTGATCGAGCAGAGCTATTGGTTGAAATAGAAAAGAAATACGATATCAGAGTCCGAATTCAATGAATTTGAGCCGCGTCTGAAATCCGCCAAAAACCAGGTTTTATTTAGCGCCAGCTTAAATCTTGAAACATACAATTTTAAGTGAAACCAACCATATTTGAGCCGCGTTTTAATTTCAAGCCGCGGCTCAAATTCTTTAAATTCGGCCTCAGGTTGAAAGGATGTAAAGCTTAGAAAACTAAAGTTAGTCGTCAGTGATTAATCCTTTAGATGAAAATCTGAAAGAAAAGATTAAATAATATGAAATTATATCATGCAATGTTGCAACTTAGAGTAATAAATACAAAAGAGAAAAAATTCCACAGACACAGATGAGGAATATGACAGATAGACAGACAGATGAGGAATATGACAGACAGACAGACAGATGAGGAATATGACAGATAGACAGATAAATGAGGAATATTTTAGACAGGCAGATGATGAATATGACAGACAAACATATAAGGAATATGACAGTATATAATGTTAACATAAAGATTAACATTAACATTAACATTAACATTGACTTTCAACAAACCACTAAAGGTTATGATTGTCAGTATAAAATTTAACATTAACATTAAAGTTAACATTGTCAGTATATAATGTTTACATTAACATTAACATTGACTTGAAACAATTCGTAAAAGGTTAAATTATTGTCAGTATATAATGTTAACATTAACATTAACATTAACATTGACTTTATACAATTTATTATAGTATATAATGTTAACATATACATTAACAATAACATTAACCTGTAACATTTATATGTTAATATTAATTAACATTAACATTTGCATGTTAATATTAACATTAATTAAATTATTAAATAACATCAATGATCTCATATAGCGCCTCTAATGATAGTTATTAGAAAATTTAAGTTTGCGGTGATGGTTTATTTCCTCATTAAAGAAACCGGACGTTAAAAAATGAGGAATTTTTCGATCTTTTCAGCCATAAGAGATATCTTTAAACAGTAAGATTTGTTTAGTTATGTTCGTTAAGGGGCTGTTAGTACAGTGTAATGTCAAGTGACCCATGCATGCTAAGATGGCAATGCCCGATTTACAACAATACCCTTAATCTAATCAAAAATGTGGAAGACTCAAAAAGTGTTTTTTTATTTGAGTTTCTTTATTACTTCTTCTAAACAAGAAATGCGCTTTCGAAGAGAAATTAAAATTCTAAAATTGAAATTTTAAAAACTTTAATAGTTTTGTGCAATTTTCAGAAAAGTGAACACAGAACAATCCCTTTAAAAACTGGGTGATGAGAAATCAATGGTTTCTCCATATTTGGTATTTTATATCCTTTCTAATTCTTCATAAACATATTCAGACTTTTACCGAGGGCCTTACAAGGAACTAATAATAATTCATGGGATCTTAAACCAAGGTGTAAATCGGACACTGCCCTCTTACATAAACCCTGGAACACAGTGAACTAGGGGGGGGGGGGGGGGGGAGCACATTTTTCCTTGAGTGTTAAAAACATGTGAAATGTTCACCTACGTAGGGGTGTCTGTATGATGTAATATCTATAGATATGGAAAAACACCGTGTTAATATTCTTTGGAATTCGTTAGTAATTTTTATTCCCGGAGAAAGGAGATTGGTTTGAATCAAACATGAATATAAGTATTCTTCATCATGTAAAAACAAATTTGTGTAATGCTGAATACGTATGCATATTTGAGTGTATAACATATCAGGGATTTGTGTTCCTCCAGAAGCAACTCCTTGTATTAATACGTTCTCTACAGTGTGTCCGCAGTAATGCTATAATAAATATCGGTTAACATGATATTCTGTAAATCTAAACTACGTTGTACATTATTAACTATCTACATTTGTAAACTTCTATGTGAAACCCATTATTCATTTGAACTTCGCTTCAAATAAATACGTATGATTAGCTTATTCATGTGATATATATAATGACGTACATCTTAATTGCGCCTGTTTTAACTATGCTGTAAATATGTAAACATGATTGTCTTAATCATGTGATATAGATAACGACGTAGGAATTGTAATTAAGTCTATTAACATTAACTTGTAACATATAAACCTCAAATACATCAGTTGATTACTGTGAGAGAGTAATCGTGTCCTTGTTCTAAACAAATGAGTTGAAGATCATGCTCATTGGTTTGGCATTGATAGTTGCGCGCTTATAACTGTGTTTACATTGATAACTGATCGTGCCCATTGGTTTGGCATTGATCTATTTAGTCCTTGTGTCCCTGGAGAGACATTTATAGCTGACGAGAATGTGTCCAGGTTTAGCATTGATAGCTAAGTGAAACTGAATTGTAACCTGGATAGATACGGGTTTGAGACCCTGTCATTGAGTATGGCATTTACTACAATGGTCCTCTACAGTGTGTCCGCAGGGGAAGGAATTGTAAGGTTTACAAATCAGAGGGAAAGGAATTGTAAAGCCAACAAATCAGAATGGAAGAAATTGTAAAGCCAACAAATCAGAGGGGAAGAAAGCGAACAAATCAGAAGGGAAGGAATTGTAAAGCCTACAAATCAAAGGGGAAGAAATTGTAAAGCCAACAAATCAGAGGGGAAGGAATTGTAAAGCGAACAAATCAGAAGGGAAGGAATTGTAAAGCCTACAAATCAAAGGGGGGAGGAATTGTAAAGCCTAAAAATCAGAGGGAAGGAATTGTAAAGCCAACAAATCAGAGGGGAAGGAATTGTAAGACCTACAAATCAGAGGGGAAGGAATTAAGGAATTATAAATCCAATAAATCAGAGGGAAAGGAATTGTAAGGGCAACAAATCAGACGGGAAGGAATTGTAAAGCCAACAAATCAAAGGGGAAGGAATTGTAAAGCCTACAAATCAGAGGGAAATGAATTGTAAAGCCAACAAATCGGAAGGGAAAGGATTGAAAAGCCTACAAATCGGAGGGGAAAGAATTGTAAAGCCTACAAATCAGAGGGAAATGAATTGTAAAGCCAACAAATCAGAAGGGAAGGAATTGTAAAGCCTACAAATCAAAGGGGGAAGGAATTGTAAAGCCTACAAATCAGAGGGGAAGGAATTGTAAAGCCAACAAATCAAAGGGGAAGGAATTGTAAAGCCTACAAATCAGAGGGAAATGAATTGTAAAGCCAACAAATCAGAGGGGAAGGAATTGTAAAGCCAACAAATCAGATTTGCATGAAGCTTCACGCTATTTTATATAAAAAACTGTAACTAGAGTAAAAACTGTGAATACAACCTTGAGACATGTTAAACAATAAATTAGAAATTTTGCAAATCTCAATAAAAAAGTTTTATTGATTTAGGAAAAAACAAATAATTTAAACAGATTTAGAAAAAAATTAAAAAGTGAATGTTTTTTTTTCCTTTTTCAAATGTTTCATATTGTACAGAGCCTATTCGAGGTTAATTTAAAAGGAGGTTTGAAAAGATGGGGAAGGAAGGGGGCAGGCTGTAATTGCTTGCCGAGAATTTGATATTTGCCGTTCTCAACGGATCCCTGTAATCAGTGGGACATCGGTATTCTCTTTAAAGGGACTAGAGACGTAATTATATAAGCATCCAGCTACATTTTTATTGTCCGATTCACAACGGTACCTTTATCTCAGCAACAAAGATTGGGAAGAGTTGAATTCTAACAAGTTCTTTTTTACGCCGTTAATGCAAGAAACACAAAATAGAAACACATCTCATAGTATAGAATAGAAAACACATCTCATAGTATAGAATAGAAAAACATGGTTAATACCTTCCTCTCCTTCCCTTTCATCCCTCCTATCCCTCCCCACCCCCTCCTCCTGCATCTCATAGTATAGAATAGAAAAACATTGTTAATTAGACATGCCACTAGAAATAGAGGTTTACTTGCCTCTACTTGAATACCTTCCTCTCCTTCCCTTTTATCCCTCCTATCCCTCCCCACCCCCTCCTCCTGCATCTCATAGTATAGAATAGAAAAACATAGTTAATTAGACATGCCACTAGAAATAGAGGTTTACTTGCCTCTACTTAAAGACCTTCCTCTCCTTCCCTTTCATCCCTCCTATCCCTCCCCACCCCCTCCTCCTGCATCTCATAGTATAGAATAGAAAAACATTGTTAATTAGACATGCCACTAGAAATAGAGGTTTACTTGCCTCTACTTAAAGACCTTCCTCTCCTTCCCTTTTATCCCTCCTATCCCTCCCCACCCCCTCCTCCTGCATCTCATAGTATAGAATAGAAAAACA